TCATAGCAGCTGCTAAAAGATTGTTGGCAGCAGTGATAGCATGGATGTCGCCAGTTAAATGCAAATTGAACTCTTCCATCGGTATCACCTGCAAAGGTTGCTCATTTACTTATACTTTTGATCCGTCAAAGGGCAAGCACCTGAGCGTATCCTCCTCCAGCTGCTCCTCCTTTGATGCCAAACGTTGGACCTTGTGACGGTTGTCGAACACATGCGAAAGAATTCTTGTGAAGATGGGCCGTCAAGGCCTGCACGATTCCCATCGTCGTAGTTGATTTTCCCTCGCCCAACGGTGTGGGTGTGATACCTAAATTGAGATCCACCAAAAAATCAATAACTGATCCAAAAATAATTTCTAGCCTCCATAGGTGAAAATTTTCCGTGTGCGAATTTTTGAGTTACCCCTCGGAATCCTAGAGGTACCGTGTATGTACTGCCCCACATTGAGCTTTCTTTGGAACAAGAGCACCTTTCAAAACAGAGTTAGGTCTCATAACGAGCTTCTATCCTATTTCTTTTGCCATCTTGTTTTCGTGTGTTTTCTCTCTCACATCCTCCTTTCATTACTATTTCCTTCTCCTCATTCTCACGTACTTTTTGTAGGCACTTGCACATGAGCCATTAAATTGAAAGGTTATGTTATTGCGTCCAAAAATGAAGCTGTATACATTGATTGGTTCACTAGCTAGCGATGGCAAAAAAGCGAAAAAAAAGCTACCTCAACCCTTAAAACCGGTTACACGACAGGATGCCCGTAGCTCGGCGGGAAGGCGGAGACGCAGACACGTCGACGGATGAGTCGCAGCGCGCATTGTGCGATGTGGGACGTGCATCCCATCTTTGACGCTAAATCGCTACAAGCGCTGCGCGCTATAACTTGTGCGCTGAACCGTTTGCATCCCTTTCTTCGCGCCCGCCACGGGCCTCCTGTCGGGTACCCGGTTAGAACCACACAGCGCACTGATCGTGCAGGTGGGATTTGCGCTCAACCCTAGTAAGGCTCTCATTATTCGGTCCCAATACCTTTGAGTAGATATATGCCTGTTTTTTTATGCTGTATGTTATCAGATCGAGGGCTGTGCTATGTCACCTTGAAGATTCTAGACAGCTTTTCTACTTCTCCTTCATTTCTGTCAGATCAATTGTCCCTACCATGCCCATTTTTACGCGCCATAACCCCTGCCTACTGAATTATGGGATGGTGCCTCAAGGGGAGTACGATATATCAAGCAGTGATAGCCACAACTTTTCAGCAACTTACCAGCAACTACGACGTATTTTCCGTCCTTCACATGTTTTAATCTTCGCAGAACATCCAACTGATACCTTGGCTTTTTTCCTTCCGTAGGGATCGAGTTCTTCATGTAGAATACCCACCTCTTGAGCTAACTGACGGAAAGTAATGCGGTAAGTAGAAAAAACTTAGCACACAAGTAGGGTTGCAAGCTGTTGTTGCCGTATTTCAAAAGGCCAGAAAACAGAAAGGTAAGTGAAGGGTTGGCAAATTTTTGTGAAATTCAGAGATTTTGGAAACTATCGCAGTTTAACGGGCGTTGTGTTTTAGAGTTCCTCTCAGTTTGCAGGTACCTATAATTAGGTACACCTCATTGGCTGCGTAGTAATCAAAGCGAAACTCAGCCCAATCAAGGGCGTAAAAGCGCGTTTTACCATGAAAAGGTAGCTTATTGGTTACGAGCGTAGAGGTGGTTAGTGAAATAGGAATGAAGAAGAAGCCATGTGAAAAAGCCCAGAGCCCAAGAAATGGGACCCCCTTCTTGTTGGTTGATTTTCGCATTGATGCGACTCTCATTCAATGCTAACGCTCTCTCCACTACGTCCGTGGGCGCCAAGTGTCCAAAGGAGAAGTCATCCAGATCGACAATGGGCAAATATTTTTGATGCGAGGTTACGTGATGCCGTCCGCCCCCTTACTGAGTCCACCTGTCCCCAGCCACTGAACTAACTTTCCCATCCTGCGAGCTTAGTTTCTTCATCAATCCTCCGGTCGAGCAGGATCCAAGATGTAAGCGCGTAAGCAAGCCCTGAGCGAAGCCCTCGCTGGCAACCTCAGGCTTTAATGGTCGCGGCAGCTCTCTGGTACCTCTTACCCAGGGAGAATGGACGCTCCCGCACTGTGAGCACGCCTACTGTAAACGAGTATTGGTTTTGACCTGACAGAAAAGCATCCTTGTAACGCGAATTAGAAGTTGATACAAGATATTTGGCAGCGCTGACGTCATTGCACCCGGGTCTTTTTTAATTACCAATTAAATCAGTAAGTAAATTTGTGAAGCTTCCGTAAACATCAAATCGAATGCTGATTTGATCGTTCTCTGCTAGTCATCTGCAGAACTTCAATGCGACCCTAGGAAAATGATGGGTCGTGTCATTCACTGCTGGCTTATCAGTCTTTTTGTTGCCTACTGCAGACAGCGAAGCGTTCTCTGAACTGTCTCATTAATGACAAAAGGCTGAAGTTTATTCACATTGGCTTATCATTCCATTTATCACCGATTCAGGAGAGAAAAGCGTTCTATGAACTGCTCCATTGGTGATAAAAGGTGATCTAATTAAGCACACGTCATGGATCATGACGGCATGCCCTTTTGTTGTTCTCAGAAGTAGCATCGCATGCTGTATTCAGGTACTTGGTTAGTGACCTTAACGGAACTGTCTTCATGTGTGTTAGCTGCCTCAGCAAGTCAACAGTGTTTTTCTTAGAGAACAACGTTCTCAAATGGCAACAGTGTGACAATTGCACCCAAAGGTCGTTTCATGACTGCTGAAACGGTTACGCATCGAGAAAGGGCGCCAACACCCAGAAGATAAGAGTTGCAACGTCGCCACACCTGCCGTACCCAACTTGAACGGGGTGATGATGCTTCAAAATTAAATTGAAGGCTGGATAATCATGGTGAATTCCTACACCAAGTTCTGCAATGAAATTTGTGTTGAAGTCCGAATAACCTACCTGTTCGATATTTTTCGGAGTTTGACTTCTCGAGATCGCAATGTCCGAAGGAACAGGTACTTCGAGTTTGAGAGGAAGGCTTTGAAGGTTCCAAGACATGCTGTCCTAAAAAATGGCGCGTAATATCGATGAACAGGCTCGTCCAGTTGTAGCGTCCTAGAATTGACA